TAAACTCCCTTAAACCGCTGATTACTGGGAATGAACAAAATCAGCGGCAAAGATGGATTTGTCCCAATATTTTTAATTCAATGAATGAACTAACCTGATTTGTTTAAAGCTCCATACAACAGTTTATGTATAAAAAGAAAGGTTTGTCACAATAGGTTTAATTCAATGACCAAATCGACCTGATTTTTTAAAGCTCCATACAACAGTTGATGTAAACAAAAACCGGGTTGTCACAATAGGTTTAATTCAATGACTCCATACAACAGTTGATCTGTAAATCAGATGCAAAAAGTAGAAAAGATTCGTCCCAATAGTTTAATTCAACTAACATAGTTACCTGATTTCTTACACTCCATAAAACAGCTGATTACTGGAAATGAACAAAATCAGCGGCAAAGATATTAACCAGATTTTCCTGATAGTTCAATGTCCTAAAATCATAACCTTCGACTTATTATTAATGCTTAAATCTGCGAAAATGCATACAGTAAATTCTTGTTAATCTTAAATTCATTCTTCCACAAATCGGTTTTATCTGCCAATTATCTTGGGAACCCATTAAGAGCCGACTTATTTAGTCCTTTTATCCAGTATCACACATTCCGACAAGCCTGTACAGTGACGGAATGGTATAATCAGGTAGAGATTACCCTGCTAATCCAGGTAGTCAGCCAACTGTGAATATAAGCAAGTGTACAGGAGGCCATCTCAGTCTGCGCCTACAACCAGTGTGGTGTACTGGAGGCCATCTCAGTCTGCGCCTACAACCAGTGTGGAGGCCATCTCAGTCTGCTCCTACAACCAGTGTGGAGGCCATCTCAGTCTGCTCCAACAACCAGTGTGGTGTACTGGAGGCCATCTCAGTCTGCTCCTACAACCAATGTGGTGTACAGGAGGCCATCTCAGTCTGCACCTACAACCAGTGTGGAGGCCATCTCAGTCAGCTCCTACAACCAGTGTGGTGTACTGGAGGCCATCTCAGTCTGCTCCTACAACCAGTGTGGTGTACTGGAGGCCATCTCAGTCTGCTCCTACAACCAGTGTGGTGTACTGGAGGCCATCTCAGTCTGCGCCTACAACCAGTGTGGTGTACTGGAGGCCATCTCAGTCTGCGCCTACAACCAGTGTGGTGTACTGGAGGCCATCTCAGTCTGCTCCTACAACCAGTGTGGTGTCCTTGAGGCCATCTCAGTCTGCGCCTACAACCAGTGTGGTGTACTGGAGGCCATCTCAGTCTGCTCCTACAACCAGTGTGGTGTACTGGAGGCCATCTCATTCTGCGCCTACAACCAGTGTGGTGTACTGGAGGCCATCTCAGTCTGCGCCTACAACCAGTGTGGAGGCCATCTCAGTCAGCTCCTACAACCAGTGTGGTGTACTGGAGGCCATCTCAGTCTGCGCCTACAACCAGTGTGGTGTACTGGAGGCCATCTCAGTCTGCACCTACAACCAGTGTGGAGGCCATCTCAGTCTGCGCCTACAACCAGTGTGGTGTACTGGAGGCCATCTCAGTCTGCTCCTACAACCAGTGTGGTGTACTGGAGGCCATCTCAGTCTGCTCCTACAACCAGTGTGGTGTACTGGAGGCCATCTCAGTCTGCTCCTACAACCAGTGTGGAAGCCATCTCAGTCTGCGCCTACAACCAGTGTGGAGGCCATCTCAGTCAGCTCCTACAACCAGTGTGGAGGCCATCTCAGTCTGCGCCTACAACCAGTGTGGAGGCCATCTCAGTCTGCTCCAACAACCAGTGTGGAGGCCATCTCAGTCTGCTCCTACAACCAGTGTGGAGGCCATCTCAGTCTGCGCCTACAACCAGTGTGGAGGCCATCTCAGTCTGCTCCAACAACCAGTGTGGAGGCCATCTGAGTCTGCGCCTACAACCAGTGTGGTGGCCATCTCAGTCTGCGCCTACAACCAGTGTGGAGGCCATCTCAGTCTGTGCCTACAACCAGTGTGGAGGCCATCTCAGTCTGCACCTACAACCAGTGTGGAGGCCATCTCAGTCTGCTCCTACAACCAGTGTGGTGTACTGGAGGCCATCTCAGTCTGCTCCTACAACCAGTGTGGTGTACTGGAGGCCATCTCAGTCTGCTCCAACAACCAGTGTGGTGTACTGGAGGCCATCTCAGTCTGCTCCTACAACCAGTGTGGTGTACTGGAGGCCATCTCAGTCTGCTCCTACAACCAGTGTGGTGTACTGGAGGCCATCTCAGTCTGCTCCAACAACCAGTGTGGTGTACTGGAGGCTACCCCACCCACACCATTTTTCACCTCAGGATACTTAAAACACACAGAGAATTATTCAGTGTTAGAAATAATCAATGTCCCAAGGTCTTTGAGTTATTTGGCAATATCATTTGAATCTAAGGACCCACTAAACCATTGGTTTGTAACATAAGGACACTGACCTCTTGCCATTCATACTTAAAAATTACTCATCATGTTATACCTTCGTTCAGAAAACTGAATTAATGTAATATCTTTCAAACATAGTACATACCTTATCTTGGTTCTTAGACCAGTGACTAAACTAACATTTAGATTACCTAATCTATCAACTTTGAATGTTTCTAGGGGGAAAGTCAATTGACACGGTAGAGGTCGTTGTCTGGACAAGTGGCCCTCCTACGTCGTTGCATACAGTTGAATCACAAATACGTTGCTACCAGGGAGACCTGGGTTAGAATATGTCGCCAGCACTCTACTGATTGTCATGAGAGACCACTAACTTGTCTCCGTGCAAAGGCACGATGACTTTCTTGAATTTTCATCCTACAGTGCTCCAGATAAGCTTTTGGTGTTGTGGGTATTTTACCCATGCATTTTAAAATCATTGGGTATCAGTAATTCTATCTGGGTATTCAAATTTCTGTTACCCACTAGTTTTTACACATGTGGGTATTTAAGTTAAATATTTAAAACCACTATTCATCTAGTCCCTGCAAACCTCTGTCGTGTGGGTTCGAGAGCTTTGTAGGACTTTGTAGGAATACCACGATACTTCCACAAGAAAGTGTGATGGCAAATGATCATGATGTAACTGTCATCGTGGAGTTTGGCAAGGTTGACGGAATGCCTGTTTATAATTTCAAAATAAGTTGCTGATTTGCGAATCGAATACGCAGGGTTACTTCACAATATTTTGATGATAGGCACAAGTTTTATTTTTGTAGCGTATCTGTAATGGTCGTTGCGTATTTGATACGCTTGGATTTTATTTTACTGCGTATTTCTGCATTTCTGATGCGTATTTTACGCAGATACGCAGCTTATCTGGAGCTCTGTCCTACCCGGTCAGCAGGGGCAGCTGGTTACAATAAACCTCGGGGCTGTCTGCTGTGACTCAGTTATTTACACGTTGCCATGATAAGGCTGAATATAGCTGACTGGGCGTAAAGAACAACAAACAACGACAAGTACTTTCGGTGAACCTTGCCTCACTTGATTGTTTCTTCTGCCAAGACTCATGCTTTTGCTTGTTTGTTAAATGCCGCATATATAATATGATCAAACCTCAAACTATGACAGCACTGACAAACAAAAAATCGTCATAAATCAAGCAATATTCGAAGTTAAAAAATAGAAGGGACTGCTTCATTACTCACTCATGTCCGACACACATATTAACAACCCACTTACGTATACATTTATGGCAAACAACTCTGTAGGGGGCAAAAAATCCAACTTGGGATAAGTATGAGTCAAGTGAAAATCCAACAGAATATCTTCAAAACCATCATCATAAGCAATTCTCACATAAAATACCTCATTGAACTAGCAGAAGGTATATGGTATACTGCATTCTATCCATAATCACTTATTTTGTACCTGAAGTACAAAGTATTTATTTGAGTATGGTGTGCAACCCAAGCATAATGAGCATCCCCTCTAGGAGATGCAGTACTCGAAACAATCATTTTTCGGTATCATGCTCAGGAAAAAAGTACATAGTATCCCTTCCAATCTCATTAAAATCAGATCTTAGTTCTCGCTACCGCTAAACAAAGATCTGAGGACATCCCATTACGGGTCACGTCAGACCGACCTTTCGCGAACTATGACCGACCAATTGAATGACCAATCAGAAGGCAGCTTTCTCGTGCTTTACGGCACTAATTTCAAATTGGAGACTACGCTTTGAAGCATATTTTGACAAATTCTTGATTACAAATTTGAAACCTGAACAAAAATACATTCTGGAATGACTAATAGATGGTCTAGATTGTAACGATTCAGTCGTTAAACCCGTAACTATTGTTCGGAATACCCCATGTTAAAGTTTTCGAGATTGCGTGATTAGAAATCACATTCTGACTGTCACTTTCATAATCTGGTAAGCGACGCACTGATTGGTCGGATGAAAGGTCGTTCTGACGTGACCCCTAATGGGATGTCTTCAGATCTTTGTTTAGCAGTAGCGAGAACTAAGGTCTGATTTTAATGAGATTGTATCCCTTCTGGTGAATGATTTGTTGTCATGGTATTTCCAGTGTTAGTGTTCACGGAAATGTTTTTACGTTGGGAGTGAGTGAGTGAGTGAGTTGGGTTTAACGCTGCTTTTAACAGTATTCCAGTCATATCACGGCGTGTCAGCTTAATGTGGGAGGAAAGCCCGAAGTGATGCAGGTCTTTACCACTTCGGTGAAACCCACGAGCACGGGTATGGTGCTGACAAACCTAGAAACATAATCTGGGCGAACCGGGATTCGAACCCACAATCATAGGTTTCTGGCGTGCCCAAGGGTTGCAACTCTGCACAGTGAATCGCAGCGCCTTAGATGACTGGGTCACCCGTGCCCCCTTTTACGTTGGGAAAAAACCGTCAAAACTGATGATAGAGTGTTTTATGCGCACCCCCTCTACACAGCTATACTTTTAGGGAAAAAGTGTGCACTTATAATGAAAATACAGTATTGACCATCATGTGCAAAATAAATATGTTTTAAAAGCAAAATAATATCAATTAACATATTTTTGCACAAAAAAATATATGGCTTACCGGGATAAGCGTTTTTCTATATCGGAGGGGGTGGAGGTGCGTGAGCTGGGGGTGGAGTACTGGTTGAGTCCCGGGGTGGCGAACAGGGGGCCTGGACACAGACTTGTCATTGTGGCAGTCACTGGTCACAACATGTAGGGTCGATGTCCACTTCACCTGCAACAAAATAAGGTACCATGGGATACTGTATTTTTGTAATGCCAGACATTTTTATTTTGTGTTTTACAGATTATTTTTGAAAACTTCCTGGTAAGTAGGCGGGATAAGAAGAAGGCATTTTAGATTAGTTTTTTTGTTCTTCAAACTGTTATCTGAATGTGTGGCCAAATGTGCTTTGTTGATTAACCTATTCTTTGCACAATTATATGTAATGACCAAATAAATGTTGGACTTTCAAGTTTGTATTTGTTGTTCAATTTTCAGTTTTTAGGGTTGACAGAATCCGTGAACATAGTATTCTCATAATATTACTCCTTGTAAAATATTAATGGAGCACAAATTGAATGATTTTTGTTGTATTTTATTTATAAAAGAAATTTCTTCCTTCTTCTTTCTTTTTTGTCAAAAAGAGAAAAATTCCAACACTTAAAACAAAGATTTCTTGTCATTGGCTGAAATACTCTGGAGTCACATCAGTATAAGGCCCAACTGACTGAAGAGTGTATCATGCATGTATAAAACATGGTGGGCTTATCCAAGTAGACACAGGTCTTTTTATCCTTTTGTTGGAAAAGTACAGAAAGTCGTAAGTGACATTGAGAGTTCGTTGTAAACATGCACAAGGTGTGTCTCAAATGTTTGTTACATTCAGCATTGGTGTTTTGAAATCATGACTGATTGAAAGTCGTCTCAGTGGACATAGTTAACAAGTCACCAGAAGCCCTGGATCAATGATGATGAAAGCATGCATCCTTCCTGGTCTCACAAATACAGACAATGTCTGAATGAGATTTTACGGTTACATCATTACCCAAATTGATCAACTGATCATCATTCGTAACATAGCTGTCAAAAGGGTTACCATAGCAACCAAGTAACTGTGGCTGTCATCAAGAGAAAAGTTGTCAAAAATCAAAACCAGTTTGAAATTAACATTACTAAGAACATGAAGAATGTCTTCTTGATAGGTTCTCCAGCACAGAACTATAACCCAATAAATGCACTGATCATTGTATCAAAATACAGGATATATAGATAATAAACTTAAACCAAACCTTACATTTAACCAACATAAGAGGAGCTCACATTACATAACTACACGACCAAGTACACTGCATCAGTATATGCTAACACAAACTTTTTTAACAAATTTTGTTTTAAAATATTATTCACTGTTCAGTTGATAACTGTTTAGTTTTGTTTAGCTTATATACATATCACTATGTCTGTTGTTATTAGTCATAGAATCATGATACATTGATATTGTAATATGCAACAGAAAATATAAAGAATTTAAAGAAAGACAGAGACAACCGAGTTTGATGGAGACACCTCCTAGCTGTGAAGCTGTAGTGGTTTTCTTTAGGGGCGAATAATAATAGGCGGATCCTTTTGAAAACCAAATGTAGTATGTTGTAGGCAGTAAAATTATCTGAGCGAGGATTTTGATATTTTGGACCCCTTCCTTGATGCTTGATTGACCCTTGCTCACAACATCGACCCCAGTTACGTAGATCTATGCTCATGATGTCAATCACTGGATTGTCTGGTCCAGACCCTACTTAATTATTTACAGACTGCTGTCCTTAAGGGTGGGACGGGTATGTTGGGTACTCAAGTCAGGTAGGTTCTGAGTCTGACCAGAGTACCCACAGGACAACCCTGACACGTTGTTAGTCACATGATACAGTGTTTAATGACACTAGCAATCAATCCCTATGATTACAATACAAGTTGCTAATATTCGCATTTCTTTCTTTCTATGCACACATTCCTTCTGACTTTCATGTTTGAGTAAAGATGAAGCTTCAGTCAACTTCAGTGTACGCATGATCAGATTTTTTGTGTGTGTATCTACATACTTTTTGCCAGGGATCCAGTAAAGTTCTCCAATTCCCAAATGGACATTTTGTACCATTTCTTGAGACCTACAGTGAGTACTGGGGTTGAGTCGGGTAATAGGGACATGCGTACCTGGGTAGTAAATTTGGACTCGTCCCAGCCCTAGCTGTCATGTAGCTGGTATACTGCTGAGTTCAGTGTCAAACAAACAAACAAATACCCCACTTCACATCATCTTGTTGCCTCACGTACCAGATGAGGACAATAGTTACCGTGGTGCCCTTCCTTCTGTGCTTGAGGAAATACAAAATATATCAGATACATGTAGTCCTCCCAACCATTCCTTGACGTGAATCCCATCTGTCGACATGTTCATGTACCCAGATGCCATGAACAGTTTGATCTGAGAACTTAATCCTTATCAACCACATCAACTAGTTGACCTGTGAGGAACCGGGTTAGAACAGGTCTTCAGCAACTCATGCTTGCCGTAAAAGGGATCGGGTGGTCTGGCTCGCTGACTTGGTTGATGCATGTCATCGTATCCCAATTGCGTGGATCGATGCTCATAATATCAATCACTGGATTGTCTGGTCCAAACTCGATTGTTTACAGATGGCTGTCATATAGCTGGAATATTGCTGAGTGTGGCGTTAAACAACAAACAAACAAACAAACAAGCATTCAAGAGGCAACTAACGAGGATCAGGTGGTCAGGATTGCTGACTTTGTTGATGCATGTCATCGTATCCCAATTGCGTGGATCGATACTCATGATATCAATCACTGGATTTGGTTTTTTTGGGGGGGGTGTTTTTTTATTTACAGACTGCTGTCATATAGCTGGAATATTGCTGAGTGTGGCATTAAACAAACAAACAAACAAACAAACAAACAAACAAAATATCATCTAGTCACCAGCTGGGGCACAAGCAAACTCTTGAGTTAAGTGCTCATTATGAATGCATGCAGGTTTTGTACAAGGAAACTATATATCCAAGTCAATGTTACAGTAATCAGATAGGGACAACATACCACCTACATGACAGACAATCCGTTGTTCCGTGGAGCCACAGTGATTGTCAGGAAGTCTCAGTCGGGGACACAAGGCTATGGTCACACTCCAGCAACTAGAGCCGTCACGCTAGACTTGTCATGTCTAGGTCACAGGCTTCATCAACAAACATGACGGTCGATAGGAGCATTGTTTTCTATGTCACTTGAGCATGTTTAGCACGTCCTGATTAAGCACTGTTTACATGGCCAGGATACATCACAAGGGCTGGTATTTCATGAGTAAAATGATGCTCAACACAACATCATAAGAAGTGTAGCATCACAAGACAAATGGCACATGACATTATACGACACATAAATACTGCAGAACAAGACACCACATGACATCACATGGCACCACAAGACAATTGGCATCACAAGACACATGGCCTCACAAGACAAGTGACATCACAAGACACATGACACCACAAGACAAGTGGCATCACAAGACACATGACACCACAAGACAAGTGGCATCACAAAACACATGACACCACAGGACAATTGGCATCACAAGACACATGACACCACAAGACAATTGGCACCACAAGACACATGGTCATACAAGACAATTGGCATCACAAGACACATGGCCTCACAAGACAATAGGCTTCTCAAGCCACATGGTATCACAAGACAATTGGCATCACAAGACACATGACACCACAAGACAAGTGGCACCACAAGACACATGGTATCACAACACAATTGGCATCACAAGACACATGGCCTCACAAGACAATTGGCATCACAAGACACATGGCCCTGTAATTGGCACCACAAGACACATGGTATCACAACACAATTGGCATCACAAGACACATGGTCATACAAGAAAATTGGCATCACAAGACACATGGCCTCACAAGACAATAGACTTCTCAAGACACATGGTCTCACAAGACAATAGACGTCTTAAGACGCATGACACCACAAGACAATTGACATCACAAGACACATGACACCACAAGACAAGTGGTATGACAAGACAATTGGCATCACAAGACACATGGCCTCACAAGACAATTGGCATCACAAGACACATGACACCACAAGACAATTGGCATCACAAGACACATGACACCACAAGACAATTGGCATCACAAGACACATGACTCCACAAGACAATTGGCATCACAAGACACATGGCCTCACAAGACAATTGGCATCACAAGACACATGACAGCACAAGACAATTGGCATCACAAGACACATGGCCTCACAAGACAATTGGCATCACAAGACACATGACACCACAAGACAATTGGCATCACAAGACAAATGGCCTCACAAGACAATTGGCATCACAAGACACATGGCCTCACAAGACAATTGGCATCACAAGACACATGGCATCACAAGACAATTGGCATCACAAGACACAAGGCCCTGTAATTGGCACCACAAGACACATGGTATCACAAGACAATTGGCATCACAAGACACATGGCCTTACAAGACAATTAGCACCACAAGACACATGAGAACACAAGACACATGCCGTGTAAGGGGGCCATCAGACACACCATATCATGTGATATGTTCACATGACATCCATTCTTTAAGTCATGACATGGTATGGCATGGTGTGAGCAACACATATGACATGCGAAGGTAGACACTCAACAAAGGCTAGTAACAGTTCACGTATTTGCCACAGAAAACAAACAAAGGCAGACTTAAAGCATATCTTTCCTATGAAAACAATAACTAATTTCCAAGCAAAACATGTAACAAGTAAACATACACGATTTTCCCATCCCGTTTTACAAAATGTTAAAATTATATTCATTATTACAAGAGAGAAAATCAAAGTAATGCAAGCATCAATCTCATTAAAATCAGACCTTAGTTCCGCAACCGCAAAACAAAGATCTGAAGACATCCCATTAGGGGTCACCTCAGAACGACCTTTCATCCGACTAATCAGAGCTTCGCTTACCAGATTATGAAAGTGCCAGTCGGAATGCGATTTCTAATCATGCAACCTCGAAAACTTTAACACGGAGTATTCCGAATGATAGCTACGAGTTTAACGACTGAATCCATACTATCTAGACCATCTATTAGCAATTCCAGAATGTTCTTTTGTTCAGGTT